GAATTGCCTTCTCTCAAATACCCCTTTATTCGATCTAGATAGGCACCTCATCAGCTTTTGAAAATGACCTAGGTCCCATTGATCTTAATGGATTAGGCATCTATGGCCATTTGGAAATCCCTCTAGTCCCCTATTTGCATCTTTAAAAGCTTATTTAAATTTAAAATCTGACAGTTAATCCTGGGTAAGGAACTAAAAGGCATCATTCAGCACTTAGGAGGTTTAAACCATAGATGATGAGGTGAAAATCAACACTTCAAATGATTTCTACTACCAATTTGCCATCAGAGCTTGGTGTCCAACTCAGTGATTAGAGGGAAAATAGGTCAGAGGAAAATATGGGAAATCTCTCCAGTATGTCTACACTCCCATCACTGTACTGTCTGCCTCTCTAATGTATTTCTCCTCACAATATCCCTGAGAGGTTAAAAGCAGGGTTGACGGGTGCAGCGAGCAGGGGACACAGCCCTCTGGTCTCTCTCCAGCCCTAGAACACAAATTAGAGGCAGGCAGTTTTGAAGCTGAAAATTCAGAGGGCACAAAAATTTTTTTACAGATAGAGAATAAGGCAAAGAGACAAATACCCCATGTCACACAAGTCTGTGGCAGAATCAAGAACTGAACTGGGATCCCCGAGTTTTAGGATACTATCCTATGGTAAGTCTACACAGCAGTGTTATTTCAAAACACCACAATGGCAAGCTGGAGGACATCTTAACCTGACTCCAGTAATGCTCATTTCTCAGAGTAAGGGGAGTTGGAAGAAGCGAGTTCTTCCTTTGATTTCCTGCTATGTAGACAGCACCAAACGCTGAATTAAGCTCTTTCAACTTCAGCTAGGTGAAGTTGTGTAGCTTAATTTGATTTTTGCCCTGCTCTGTAGATGTGCCCCTAGTTATTAGATCAGGGGTTCACAACCTCTCCCTCTGAGGCCCCCACCAATGCTATAAAAATTCCATGGCTAAGCTGTGCCACATTTGTTTTTCCCGATTAAAAGCCAGGGCCAGCATTGGGGAGGGGGAGAGTAAGAAGAGCAATTGCTTGGGCCCAATTTCCACACATCAAGTGGGGCTTTATTAAACATTTCCTGGAGGAGCCCCAGTACAGATACTAAGGCACCAATGTCCCCAAAACACAGTGAAGCACCAAGACAAGGTAATAAATCACCAACCCTGATATGAGATGGTGCAACAAAATACTGCAAATATAGGCACTGGCAAGGTAAGGCCCAGGCAAACTCAGGGAAAAATGCCTAAAAAAATCTTGAGCTTATTGTGGAAGACTGAGAAGTTCTTTCACTAAAGAAGAAACATCCAGTAGTTTTATTGCCTGAGAACATTGGTTAGAGTCCTGAGTGGTGAACACAACTATTAATGACAGTAAAAGAATGAGGGCCAATTGCAGGTTTCTGCCTTTCTTGCGCTGTAAAGAGTATAAGAATTTAAGTGTGTAGATTTCCTTTCAGCATAAGGACAGAGAGGTCAGATACAGTAATCATTTTGTGAAAAGTGGTCACCCACCGGTAACAAGCTGTTTGTGCTATAAAGAGGACCAAAACCCACGTAAAAACCCAATCTCTAGAGAATAAAATATTTATATATATAAATATTATGTACAGATGGAACCTCACTTGTCCAGCACCCTGTGGAACCTGAATGGTTCTGAACCAGAGAGCTTGCTGGACAAGAGGAGATCAAGGCTCCTTTCCCAGCTGTAGGCTCTGATCCCGACTAGGGCTGCACTCAGTGCTGCCAGCCCCACTACCTCCAGCCCCGCACTGTGCAAGCCCTGGCCAGGGCTGCATCCCCATTGCACCAGTCCAGTTGCCTCCAGCCCTGCTGCCTCCAGCCTTAACTGCGGCTGTGCCCCCTCCACACACTACCCCACACACACCTAACTGCACCAACGCCGGTTGACTGGGGCAGTGCTCTTTACCATCAGTCCCAGCCAGGGCTGCACTCTCCAACGCCAGCCGAGCCCATGCTGCTTCTGAACCTGGCCAGCCGGGGCTCTCTGGTCCATCTAGATCCGTGGTCTAGAAGACCATGGATGTTGCCAAGCCAGAGAGTCCTGGATGTTAGAGGTTCAACCTGTATATTTTGTTAAGAGTTTGTGCATTTGTCTGTCCATAAGTCTATTTGTTCAAGAACTCCTAAATGGTAAGAGCCATAACCACCAAATTTAGCATGAAGCTGCTATCCTAACAAAGCAAAGTCAGGGTTTGGTTGTGCCAGGAAAGCAGGAAGTGCCTGAAATGGGGATTATTTTCCATAACACAAAGACGGGGGGCTGAGTAGAAGGATAGTTTTGCTTCGTAATGACCTCTAGTGTCAGTGAGTATGAGGGACAGTTATACTGCAGAGTAACCACCAGACACAGAGGGGAGGCATACCCAGAACAAAGTAGTCAGCTCTCCACATTGCCAGCCTTTGGCCACAGAAGTGTCCCCCTGCCCTAAACCCTTCACCCTCAGCCACAGCACTCAGGGTGGGGGGGGTGGGGCACCCTCTTCCCCCTACGTGATTCTGGATAGCCAAGGACTTGGTATTTTTAAATTTATATATCCCACCAATATATTCTCTATATTATGATTAAATTACCTTATTAGAAAATTACCTGTGACCTCCCAGAGTGAGTTTTAGATCAGCCACGTTTGACTAAGGGTGTGTCTAGACTACAGAGTTTTGTCAACAAAAGTGGACTTTCATTGACAAAACTATACCTGCGTCTACATTACCGCTGAGTTCTGTCGACATAACGTCGACAGAACTCAGCAGTTTTGTCGACGCTGGTAAACCTCATTTTACGAGGCATAACGCCTTCTGTCGACAGAACCGTCAACAGAAGGTGTTATTGCATGTAAACTGTCCTTGCGTCTACACTGCCATGTCAACAAAGCAGCTTGCTTTGTCGACAGAACTGAATGTAGTGTAGACGCTCTTTGTCGACAGAAGCTTTGTCGACAGTATCTGTCGACAAAACCCTGTAGTCTAGACATACCCTTAGTTTCAATTTTCAGGGGAAGTATAAGAAGCAAACATTAGGACCACTAAAACTGTGGCACATTAAAGTCTAACAGATGTATTTGGGCATAAACCCATTTCATCAGATGCATGGAATGGAAATTAGAGGGAGGCATAAATGACAAAAAAAGGGGGGGAGGAGGTTACCTTATCAAGTGGAAGACCAATGCTAAGGAAACCAATGCAGTCAGGGTTGATGTGGCCCACTCCCAACTGAAGATGAGGAGGCCAGAATACCAAAAGAGGGAAAATTGCCAGCCATTCCCGATCCCTATTCAAAACCAGATAATATAGATGTTCTGAGAGATGAAGGTTCTGCTGGTTTCTGACCACTGCTACTGTTTCAGACAAAAAGGATAAAACTGAATATCTGTTTGAAATAGGTACAGGGCCTTTCTGTAGACTTTCATTTCATTTTTATATCTGGCCTTTTTCTTTTTCCACTTCTGAGAATGGAGTGAATGTTAAAACTAGTAACTAAGGCAATCTATGTGCTTAGGATTCAAACTGATAATCTGATCCATGTGGAAAGACCTGAGTCCACATGTAATCCCTTTGACTTCAATGGGACTCTACCCAGGCAAAAAGATTAACCAGTGCTGATCAGATCACAAGTCCAGGACTTTGATTTATAAGACACCTATCAGAATGCTGTAGCAGAATTCCTAGATTAAGTGTATGTTGACAGCCGACTTGAAACACCAGAGAAATTTTTGAACTTAAGAGAATAAAAGATGGCTCTAGTTAGGGATTTACTGAGGTAAGTTCTAATCTAGTCAACTTTACTAGTTGGTTGAGTCATAGTATAACTAACATCATGGAAAAAAGAGAACATATTTCCCCAATATTAAATCTTTATTATATACAAAAATATTTTGTTGTGAATTAACAGAACTTCACACATTTGTACATTAACATTTTCTGCTGGACTATGCATGACATGAAAAAGTTAACTGTAAAAGACAACATATTAAGGGGGAACTTTGAATACAAAATGAGTAAAAAAACATAGTCCGACATGTTAACTGATGTTATCCATGTAAAGATATAATACTAACAGATCCCATTTGTTGGACCTGTTCCATAATATCATGTTTCTTAGACAACAGTTTAGTTGCTAAGTGATTTTCACAGTCTTACTTTCAAAAATATAACTCAACAGTAGGTTAATGTGGCAACAAGGTTTTCTTAGTTGTGTTTTTTGCACTGCTGAGACCTGTATAATACATCAGAAGAGAACAATTTTTAAAACTCTTAAGTACCAAGTCCAGTTTTAAAATTTAATAAGTTACATAAAAAGCATGCACCTTAACATCCAAAATAAAACACTACTTGTGAAAATACACAAGGTAAGTCAAATCTTATTTCAAGATGACAGACATGTAATAGAAATCAAAAGTTTAACTTGACCAAAAATCTTGAATTTCTTTGCACAATCTTTGACAAAGAAATGCCAGATTTTAGACTCCTTCAATAATGGTGGGTCCCCTTACTGTACCACAAATATATAGAAACATTATATCTGGAAATGTAGAATTTGTGGGAGAAGGGTATACTAAACATGCATTTTTAAAAGTCAAGAACAAGTCTTTGGAATTAATAGTTTGCACATCATGAAGACAGTCTGATGTACTGGACTGTCTTTTGAAACAGAACAGACAGCTGCTCAAACCTGCATTCTACTGGCCAATATACTGCCATCCAACAACCCTGTGTTAAAAGGAATCTTGTCTATGCCTTGAGAGGTCAGATAGCACAGAAAAGTCACTTGGTTCTGGAGAAAGTTTTACTATTCTTCATATTCTAGAGAAGTGCCTGTTGGGTATCTTATGGAACAATATTTAGGTTATTTTTGGAGGTGCCCATAGATTGTGTCCTTGAGGCTGGATAACAGAGTCTATTAAAAAGAAAAAAGGAAGTAATGGAGAGAGCGTACCCATAGCCAATTTAACTTTCACACTTGAGAACAAGTTACGGCTCTCTATTGTACCCAATCTTACATTATCAGCAAAGGAAGGGGAATCCATGCCCACTAACATGACCATTAAAATATATCAGAGTCTTCTAATGTACATGTATGATTTCACATTTACTTGTAAGTAAAACTTGACCCATAGACTATAAATACTGCTTACTATAAAAGTAATTAACATTGTAAGTGGGTTTACTTAAAATGGAATGCTGTTAGATAAGATGCTTTTCATATTTTGTACAGTTAAAGTAGAAATTGAATAGAAGTACCATATACTACAAATGAGAAAACATATTGCAAACGATCTCTTACAGGCAACCCCCACTGACTTACTTGGGATTCATTAAACTGAAAAATGGTGGAATACGATTCCTCATAGCAACGGACATGTTAATTACCACCCATTGAACTAGTGTACCAAAAAGTAAAATGCTTTTAAAAAAAATAAAAGTAGCATTTAGAGTGATGGTCTATAAAATGTTATTTGCAGCATGTTGTTGGGGCAGAAAACAGTGTGCTTTTATGTCTACACTGCAATTACACACCCATGGCTGGTCCATTCTAGCTAACTTGAGCTTTCAAGACTTGAGGTGCAGTGCTGCTTATATGCATGTAGATGTCTGGCTTTAGCTGGAGCCTGGGCACTAGAATCTTGCAAGGTGTGAGGATGCACTCAAATTTTTAGCACAGGGACTGACAGGAACTGGGACAAGGATTACAGTGAAGGCCCAATATACTGAAGAAATTTGTTCTCTTTGCTATATATACACACACCTGATCTCTCAACACACCAGTCCTTTTCAAAACAAGTAGGACCGGACATTTTTTACACTGAATTTGGCAATATATATTATGCTTAAATAAACTCTCCACAATTTAATGAATGGCACACTTTTCTAAATACAAATGCATAAGCCTGCCTTTGAACATATATGCTCCCCACTGGGTTTCTCAAACTGGTGCATTTTTCAGGCAAAACTCCCTGTGCACCATACTAATTTTAGAATCTAGCCTCATGTCTATATTACAATAGTGCCTACAGGCACAACCTGGGCAGGTGGTGGTACTGCAGTAGGCATTATGTAGACACAGGAGAAACACTCTTGTTTCTAAAACCTAAATAAACAAGACGAAGTGTGGAGAGGAAACAGACAAAGAGAACAAGATAATAAAGCAGATCAAGGGCAGAGCTGGGAAAACAACAAAGGTCTCATGATTTCTACTCTAGTGCCCTAGCCAGCAGACCACTTTGTGTTTGCTCTAGCTAAAGAAAGAACATAAAAATTATGGAATTTGCATCACCATCTTGGAAACTTAGGACAACCAGGAGACAACAGAATTGGCAAGCCCCTGGATAAGGTGAGGGGCACCCGGCTCTGCTCTCCTAGAAGGGTCAGGACCTGAGGCGTAAAGGGCAGGGCTCAGGGCAGTCAGCCCTCAGAGCCACCTAAACCATACTGCATTCCCCCTTCCCCTGCAGGTAGCCTTAGTTTTGCCTGAAGTCTGCACCCAGGGGCTCTGGCAGTGATTTAAAGGGCCCAGGGCTCTGGTCACTGCCACAGTAGCAGCAGCAGGAGTCCTGGGCTCTTGCAAAATTGCCAGGGTCTGGGGCAATTGCCCCTTTTTCCATCCTCTCCCTTTCGGCGGGCCTGAGGACAGCCAGTTCTCAAGTGCTGAGCAGCAGGCAATTTGTAAAATAAAAGCATTGAAGTTTGATTTTAAAAGACAATTAGGATAACGTGCAGGGAGCAGGAAAAAGAAGTAGGTCAAACTTTGAACCTACACAAGTCTTGACAGTATCTATAAGCAACTCAATGCAAATAAAGTAATTCTGATTAAGAATGCTGCACAAAGGAAAAAATAATCATACTGTGGTGCCCATAAGGCCAAGTTTCCTTGCCTGCATCAATTTATAATACTGCTCTAATTTCACATTCTTTTATTTTATGTTTAGTGAACATTTTAAAAGCCCTTCATAATATAACTTGATAAACACACTGAAACTTAAACAGACTCTGGTGTGTCTCATTTTAAATTTCCAAATGTATCAACAACAACTTTTATAGAACAGAGGTATTATGATTTAATCAGTTATGCAGCCTAAGTATTTTCATTAAATATTAGTTTGGTGTATTCTTAAATTAGTCCATCTATCAAACAGGGTAGATTGATTTATTTCAAAGTAATTTAAATCAGCCACGAAGAAACCTTTATTTAAATATTTCTTATTTATTTTCCCAGAAAGAAAGGTTGATTTTTAATGTATGGTAACCATTAAAACATGCTGATTTGCAACTAAAGATATCTTTTACACTATTTATGTTTGGTTTACTAACTAAGAGGATATAGTATATCTATACATATTTAAGCAATTATATAGCTTAAAATACATTTATTCAGAATCTTAGAAAGTGGCAATTTTTTATTTACTAGATTAATTGAATTAGAATATTCATCCAAATACATCTTAAAATAAGTCAGAAGTAAAATAAAGATGCACAAACCAGAGGTTTTTTTAAACTAACTAAAACTACTTTAAATGTGCTCTCTCACTCATCCATTATAAATATATGTTTGTATTTAAAATTGGAATTGAACTGATAGTTTGTCACTTTGTTCTTCAAGATTTTAGAACTAGTAGATCTCATCCTGACATCTAGTATTAATTCATAGGCTGGAAGAGCAAAAAAGCTTTCCTGCTTTTTCAGCTCCCAACTGGTTTCTTAATTAAGAATGAACTAGTAACTGAACTGAACGTGTTGAATAAATTTGAAATTAAGAAAAAACATTCTCTGCACCCACAGAAGAGGTTATTGCTATCTAAAGTGCTGTATTAGCCCTTAGACTTGGTTTCCAGGTGCTTAGCCAGTGAGATTACCACCTGTTCAGTGGTTTGATTTTTTTTAAAAAGCTGGCAGCAAACAGACTGCTTATATTTTTTGTAAGTAATTTAAATTAATAGATAATAAGCCTGAAAACTTATGCTAAGGTCTATTTCACATTTAAAATTGATATTTTAAAAATAAACCTATATTTAGTTTAAATTAAAAATCCAATTTTTTCTTTTTGATCTTTTAAAATAAAGCATTTTTTCCCCCCATCCAGCCATAAATTATTTGATTCATGGCATTCTGATTGCATTCTAGCAAAATGGATGACCCAATATTTTCTCTTTAAGTCTATGCATAAACATACAAAATTATGGTGCCTTATAAGCTACATATTATAAATGGAAGTTACACAAACATTTGCTGTTTTACTATCCACGCATGCACACACGAATGTTCTCACTTATTTGATATCACTGAAGATAAAAGTAAACATATAGATTCACTTACCTTACAAATTTAACAATAGTCGTACCTCACTCATGCATACCCATTTTGTGTCAAGGTCAGATAAACAAATTTTAGCTATTTTACTTTTCAGTATCCAGGAAAAAGTGAGCAAGTGTTTAATATTCAGATAGTGAACCAAACACAAAATTGATTTCTGGATGTGTTGTAATGTTGAACTCCCAAAATACCATCAACAACAACATAAAATATGTTATGAGAAATATTGTCATTTGTTCAAGCTTAATGCATTTACAACATCTTTTCATTACTTGTATATTATCTAGCTTAGACTGGCCCATAGGTTCTCAACCAGGAGTACATGTAGTCTTCAGGGTATGAACAGTTTTTTCAGTGGGTTCATCAACTCATCTAGACATTTGCTAGTTTTACAATAGGCTACTTAAAACACACTAGCAAAGTCAAAATAAACTAAAATTTCATACAATTACTTGTTTATACTACATAAAAATAATGTGCATATACACACTGTATTAAACATACTTTTGTGTCATTTACTGATGCAACCACATTTATGACATTAAAATCATGTGCATGTTATTCTGATGTAAAAATTGACAGATTTTTAAAAGAAGCTGCTACAAGTGGTGGTAGTGGTGACTGAAAATTGTAAGAATTTGAAAGTGACAAAAAAAGTCAGTTATGCAAGGAATACAGTGCTTTTGGATTCACATCTACAAATATTGATCCATCTCAAGCTTTGTGTTTCCTTTGTAGAGCAAAGGTACATATTTGCAACATCGCTTGAAGCCAAGATACTCTACATGTGAATAAACTGGTAGATTTCTTTTAAAGAAAGGTTTCAGAGTACAAGACTTGCCAACTTAAAATGAAAAAAACTGCAATTATTTCTACAAAAGCATGTGAAGCATGCAGTTTCTCTTCTTGTAGCAAGATCAAAGAAGCTGTACTCTGTTACAAAAGCTCTGATTTTGCCTGTCCCAGTGGTACTTGCAGAAAACATTCTTCATAAAAAAAGCAGAAAGTACCCTTATAAAATGACGCTGTGACACAGTTGAAGAAATGACTGAGGAAATTGTCTCTGAACTTGTTATTGCCATTTTAAGTTTCTTGACATTTGCCCCTCAGCTTAATGAGTCCATGGATTCAAGTTAAGAAGCTCAGCTGATTTCTGAGTTAGAATTCCTTCACACAGTTTGCACTGCTGGGGCCTTTGCAATGAGAGAAAGAGTGAAGACTTGTAGCTAGAATCAGAAAAGAAAATCCTTCCTCGCAGTGGAAACACTATCATACAGAGAGGTACTTGCTTCAAAAAAAGATGAGTTCTTAGCTACTTGATGTTTTAAATGAGTACCAAATTTGTCAACTTTATCAAGTCCACTCCCCTCAAAGCTGGTCTGTTTCCCATTGTATGCAAAGAGATGGGGGTCAGAACATTAGAAACTGTTGCTTCACAGAGATTCACTGGTTTTCATGAGGGAAAGTACTTGACAGACTGTCTGAATACATACAAATTCACATTTCTTATGATCATCCCATCAATTTTATGACAGTGTCATTTGATAAGGGTACTTTCCTGAATGTTTAAGTTGCTTTTTTAAAAAGCCAAATATGTTTTCTGCAAACTTCACAGTGGCAGGCAGAATCCGGGTACGGTTAGACTACAAGTTTTTGTCGGAAAAAAGGTACGCAAAATGCACTCTGCATTTTGCGAACCTTTTTCCGATTCTTTTGTCGGAAGAGGCTTTTCTGACATTTGGCCCATCTAGGCTGGGCCAAATGCTGGAAAAACCCTCTTTCGAAAGCCCCCTTCTTCCTTGTAGAACGAGGAATACAGAGGCTTCTAGAAGAGCATATTTGCTCTTCCGCAAAAAAAAAAGCGGACGAGCAAACACATTCCCTGGACGCAGCGGAGTTTTGGGATACCTGTGGTATCCCCCAAAAACACCCAGAGTCTAGCCATACCTCAGATATTCTGCAATAGTGTAGTTTCCTTGATTTTGCCATGAGTGACAGCATATGAAGCATTGCATAGTTGAAATAGTTGAAACTTTGACAATACTGTGCGGTTAAGCTCCACTAGCCTACCTTTCAGATATACTTAGCAAGCTGAATGACCTAAATTTTGTCAATGCAAGGCCATGGCACAAACATTCAAAATCTCCTATGGCAAATCAAATTGTTTCATTGAGAAAACTGGAATTGTGGAAGTACAGATGTGAAGTCAGAAGACTTTATACCTGTTTTACAGTGCTTCATGCATGTCAGATGTCTGCACAGGGAAAACGGAGCAGAGCAAAATTAAAGATAATAGTTGGTCATTTGGCCCACTTGATATCTGAGTTAATCATATTGCCCCAACATTCAAAACAATTTAGCTCAATTTGACCAGATAAGAAACATATTCACTTGGTCAGATGTTAGCAGCAGTAACTTCTCTGCCAGTCAACAAAAATATCTTTGAGTCATCCTAAAACTATGGTCTGCAAATGAAGTTTAAGACTCCATACTAACCCCACTTTGTTATGAGTACAGAAAGCATCAGTGACCTTGGGAACCATGCTTTGAATGTTCTATTACTTTTTTGGTCAACATTTTTGTGAAGTCTCATTTTCCGCTCTGACTGCCATCAAAACAGAGTAGAAATACACTAAATGTGGAGAAAAATGTAATTGTTGCTGTCGTTTTACTGCCTCCCAGAATGACACGGCTCAAGTATCATACAAAAGGGTAAGTACAATCAAATTATTTATTTGATAAATTTATGGTAAAAATGAGAATAAGCAATTTTTCAGTATTAGTGTGCTATGAGACTTTTGTATTTTTAGGTCTGATTTTGTAAAGAAGTAGTTTTAAAGTGAGGTGAAACTTGGGATAGCCAAGACAAATCAGACCCCCAAAAAAGGGCATAATAGATGAGAAAGTTTGAGAATCGCTATTCTGGTTTACTACTCTTCCTACCAATATGTATTATGACAAAGCTATCACCATAGTCAAGGCTCGACAAACCACTGAATCTACTTGCCCCCTGGCAAATAGATTTCAGCTGGTCGCTCCGTGCGCCCCATTCACCGGCGGGCGCTGTGTGCATGTGCAGTCCCAGTCTGGCGCATGCGTGGTGCGGGCCTGGCGAGTAGCTCTTGCTGGGGTTTGTCAAGCCCTGACCCTAGTTATGGTGGAAATAGCATCTTCATTCTGAAATCTGATGGTGAATGGCTTAACCACTCTAAAAAGGTTCTTTGAACTCAAAATTCTCATTGCTGTCAGAACAGAAAACCTGTACTTTATAGTTTAAAGTTCCAATGTTTCTGAACAATTGTGTTAAACTCAGAGCAGGTGTGGTTATATAGCCAACTTGATCCTTTTCAACAAGGAAAGCATATTTTGCTAAATTTATTTTAGTATAATTTTCAAAAAGGTATTTATTTTGTTTACCACCTTAATTACAGAGATCCAGATAATCCCTATATAGGTTTGATACACCAGTTTCTTACATACATACTGGCAGACAATCCTTCCTGTGAGTCTGTCCCAGAGTCATACTCCCCAGCTGCTTCTACTTTCAAAACAATACAGCAGGCCTGATGGCACATATGATAAGCTCTAGCATGATCAGTTTCACATTTTGCACTCTATTGAACACAGGAGGGCCAAGGCTCTAGCACAAAACACACTACCCCGGACTGGCTAGACACCACAGACATACTTCCATGAAGATACTGGAAGTAGTACATAGTTTTCAGACTTGACCTTGATGCTTACATTTCCATTTGATGAAATAAGCTCTGACAAAACTACAGAGAAAGTTAAATTTGCAATACACGGCACTACAGTGTGGAAGGTAAAATCTTCTAATGTCACTCATCAAGGAGGAGCTAGCTAGCTCTACCCACTTTTGGCATCACAGTTCAGGAGTTAGTCATTTCTAACTCATAACAAAAGGCATAGTCTCTGTCTAGATAATATTTCCTACATATAGCACCTGTTTATCTCTTATTACATAGTGTACAACAAAGACACTGATAGATGAATCATAGCTATATTACCAAGATTGAATCTTTAAAATATTCAAGCAAAGGCTCTGATATTTGTTGGCACTAAGAATAATAATAAACCTATTCCTCAAAGTCCCATCAGAGCAGTAGAAGCCCTGTCTTCTAAGAGTACCAAACAGAAAAATATCGTGCTGGTGCCACATCTTATGAGACATACTAAACTTTAAAAAAGAAAAAACTATTAGGGCTGTCAAGAAATTTAAAAAATGAATCATGATTAATTGCCCTGTTAAACAACAGAATACAATTTATTTGCATATTTTGGATTTTCTGAATTTTTAAATTTTCTGCATTTTAAATCATTGGTATTGATTTCAATTACCACATAAAATACAAAATATACAGTGCTTACTTTGTAGTAACATTAATTACAAATATTTGCATTGTAAAAAGAAACAAAATAATATAGTTTTAGATTGCACTACAGTACTTGTTTTCAGTTAATCTCCTTAAAGTGAAGGCTGAATTTATAAATGTAGAATTACGTACAAAAAATAAATACACTCAAAAATAAAACAATGGAAATCCTTGGAGCCCAAAAGTCCACTTAGTCCAATTTCTTGTTCAGTCAATTGCTTGGACAAACATTTGTTTGCATTTGCATTCGATAATGTCGCCCTCTCATTACTTGCAATGTCACCTGAAAGCGAGAATAAGCATTTGCATGGCACTGTTGTAGCCAGCATCAGAACATATTTATGTGCCAGATGTGCTAAAAATTTGTATGTCCCTTCATGTTTCAACCACTATCATTTCAGAGGATGTGTTTTCATAATGACAGGTTCTGCTAAAAAATGATCCAAAGCAATGTGGACTGATGCATGTTCATTTCATCTGAGTCAGCTGCCACGAACAAAAGGTTGATTTTCTTTTTTGGTGGTTTGGGTTCTGTAGTTCCTGCATCTGAGTGTTGCTCTTAAGATTTCTGAAAATATGCTTCCCTTAGATTTTGGAAGACACTTCAGATTCTTAAACCTTTGGTTGAGTGCTGTAGCTATCTTTAGAAACCTCACATTTGCATTTTCTCAAATCTGAATTGAAAGTGTTCTTAAAATCGAACAACATGTACTGGGTCATCATCCAAGATTGCCATAATATGATATATATGGCTGAAAGCAGGTAAAACAGAACAGAAGACATAATCCTCCCTCAAGTAGTTCAGTAACAAATTTAATTAATGCATTCTTTTTTAATGAGCATCTTTGGCATGGAAGTATGTTTTCTGGAACAGTGGCTGAAGCATGAAGGGACATGAATATGTAGCATCTCATACAGAAATAACTAGCAATGCCGACTACAACAGTGTCATGTGAGCACCTGTTCTGATTTTCAGTGACATTGTAAATACGAAGCAGGAAACATTATCTCCTGTAAATGTAAACAAACATATTTGTCTTAATGATTGGCTGAATAAGACGACAGACTGAGCGAACCTGTAGGCGCTAAAATCTTATGATTTATTTTTGAGTGCAGTTATGTAGTAACAAAAGAGATCTCAGTGAAGTACTTGTATAAAGTGAATTGAAAAAGACTTATTTATATTTATTGTGCAAATATTTGTAATAAAAATACAAAGTAAGCAGTATGTACTTTGTATTCTATTTTGTAAAAAACAATCCAAAATAAATAAACTCAAATTGATATTCTATTGCTTAACAGTGCAATTAAAAATGCAATTGTGATCATTTTAATTTTTTTTTTTACATTAATCACATGTTAGCTGCAATTAACTGACAGCCCTAAAACCCAAATATAGTTTGTAAAATTTAATGGAATAAAACCAAAGTTGTGATACAAGTTCTCCTTAAAAGTTTCAGACTCACTTTTAAAAGACTGAAATCTCAATACCAAGAGTCACAGAAGACGACCAAGGCTATGCAAGATTTTGAATAATATTTACAAAATATATTGGAATCTAAAAATATCAGAGTTTTTTAAAATCTTCTATAATATATCCTTTGAGACTCATAGTTTTATGTAATTACTTTAAACAAAGAAACCATCTGAACCCTGTTTTCTTGCATACATAATCAATAACCTATTCAAAGCCCAAGGGCACATTATTATTTTTATAGTGTATCTACTCTTTAGGGTTTTTCCATCAGAAATAATTCAGCAGAACTCTTGCTTTTGCTGGCACTCTGCATCATATGCTTTGGCATGGAGAAACATTCAGAAGACAGGTGCCTGTCACCAGATAGAAAATATAGTAAGTGGATAGATTACTGTAATTTAGTTTCATAAATCTGGTAATTGATGAAGAAATGTTACTATATACAATAATTAGCATACTATAAAATATGGTCACACGGATAGTTGTCCTAGTGACAATTTGCATTTGCATTTTATATTCATTAAGGAGAATTTATACTAGTAAGTGTCTTGAACATATGAATTAATATGAGCTCGGCAATAATAATAGGAATTATGCCAGTAAATCTACTGAATGGAGAATAAGTTTCACTAAACACAAAAATCATGTTATAAAACAAAATATAAATAACACTGATTTTTAGCATCTGACAATAACTTTCCAATTTCACAAGCTATTCAATGAAGAGTGCAGTTTAAACACAACATAACAAATAGCACAAAAATCTCATTACATCACATTTCAAAAAACACAACAGCTAATCACAATATTCCAAAATTTAAAATAAGAGCCAGCTAAATATCACAGGAACTGAATTCACAGATTAATACACAAATACCAAACAATGTTTCAATAAAAAAAGCAGGCTACTTTAGCAATGTGTTTTCAGAAACAGGAATAAATAGTCTTATACACTAAGCCTCACTGTAAGGCTCTGCAATATAAGGCTCTTAGGCTACTTCACCATGATCCTAACTACAATGGATTACATTACATACAACCTTTCTGACATCAGTACCTCAACTGTAATGGCTCCCAAGAATAAGTAGAGTGCAAGATTTGTTTACATTATTGTTTTTTTTTTTAAAGGTACACATAGGGGAAGTCTACAGTACATCTGTCAATCAAAACAGACAAGAAATCATGAAACTGCAAAAGTGTATAAACACTGAGCAGAAAGATGAGATCAACGTAGCAAAACAGTGCTGATTGCTGCTTTAATATTTAAAATTCTGCTTCCATAAAAAAATCATTTAAAGATGGCTATTAAGAAAAGAATTAGTGTTTTCTCCTAATAAGAACAATTGATATTTGAGCAGATGAACACTAACTTGAATAAGAGTTCTACAAAAATTGTTTCAAGTATCTTTCCTTATCACAGTGAAAATGTAAGACCAAAATGTAAATGTTAAAGCGAATGACTTGAAAGTTTTACACGAAAAAGGCAAAGGTACTAAATTAAAACATATAAAAATGCTTCAACGCATTTCCTTTGTGTGATATGAATAGAAAGGTTATCTGTAAAAAGTTAGAAAAATTAAAATAAATTACATATTTAAGTACACTTTTCCTTCAATATGTTATATAAAAACCCAGAAGAGTGTACTATCATCTAACTATACACAGAGTAAAAATGCCAGGGTGCTGCAGGTATCTTCCATCTCTACAGAATGTCTTCTGAGAATTTTAGTTTCACCTAATTTCATTTATTAGTTAAGCCCGTCTTCAGAAATCTGTCAGTATACCCAACTAATTGGGACCCACTGTGGCTCCAACCTCAGTTTCTCTATAGCAGTCTGTAGCTTCTCAAAGGCTTTATCTAGATTGTCATTTACAATGATGAGATCAAAATAGTGGTTGTATGCTCTCTGAATCCGGGCACTTTCATCAACTGTTTTTTTCAAATCGGTGTCCTGTTGAAAAGATTTGGAGACCTCTAATTAAAATGTATAACATTAGCAGGTCATTACAAGTTCAAACAACAATCAATGAAGGAATATAAATACTACTAGCATCAGTTTGTCAGATAGTGCAATTGATTTTAAATAGACTTAGTTGCAATACTGAACAAAAGCTTTAATTTACTACAAATACTTAGAAGTAAAGAAGGTATGCTTAACAATTTGATTAACATTAAAAGCAAAACTTTCAAAAACTGCTAAGTGAAAAAAAATGAAATGCCTGCAAGCTACATGTAAACTTTTTAAAATCACAGTAAAAGGTAAAATTAAATGTATAGCCCAAATTAAAAACACAGCAAGAGAAATACAAAAGAGCTACTATCTCTAAAGAAAGAAAAATAAACTGTTAAGAATAAAAAAAGGCATCCTTTCAAAGCTGGAAGTCATATTCTAGTGATGAAAATAGAAAGGAGCACAGATATTTGCAAATCAAGGATAAAAATATAATTAGACAGGCCAACAAAGAATCTGAAGAGCAATTAACTCAAAAAACTAACAGCAAAACAATTTTTAAGTATCTAGAAACAGAAAGCCTGCCAAAAATCAGTGGGGCCACTGTATGATTGATGTGCTAAAGAAGCATTCAAGGACGATAACGCAACTGTAGAGAAGCTAAATAAATTATTGGCATCACTCTTCACTGAAGAGGCTGAGATTCTCACACCTGAGCCATTCTTTATAGGTGACAAATCTAAGGAACTGTTTTAAATTGAGTTATCAATAGGAGATTTTGGAACAAAATGATAAATTAAACAGGAATAAATAATCAGGAGCAGATGGTATAAAAATGCAAAACTACTAACTTGGGTATCAAGTATCAAAGGGGTATCCGTGTTAGTCTGGATCTGCAAAAGCGATGAGGAGTCCCGTGGCACCTTATAGACTAACAGATGTATTGGAGCGTAAGCTTTTGTGGGCAAAGACCCACTTCATCAGATGCATCTGACGAAGCGGGTCTTTGCCCATGAAAGGTTTACACTCCAATACATCTGTTCGTCTATAAGGTGCCACAGGACTCCTCGTAACTTGGGTATGTAACTTATCACTTAAATCAGCTTCTGTATCAGATGACTAGAAGATAACTAATGCAACACCAATTTTTTAAAAAGGCTTCAGAAGTAATCCTTGCAGTTACAGGGTGGTAATCCTAACTTCAGTACCAGGCAAACTGGTTGAAATTGTATTAGAGAACAGAATTGTCAGATGCATAAAATAAATTAGGGAAGAGTAAGGGAAATTATGCCCCACCAATCTGTTGGAATTCTTTGAGGGTGGTCAACAAATATGGACATGAATGATACACACATAACATACATACTTGGAATAGGGATATAAGCGACTAGTCGTGTCCCCCACCCCGCAGCCTTTGCTGCCTCTATCAGAGAAAGGAAGCAAAGGTGGGAGCAGGATACAGTGCTGGGGGGAGTCAGCTTAAAAGCTGGTTCCCACCAGCATTGTCTCCATGGGGAGAAGGGGCGGGGGCATAATGGGGAACTGGCAGTGCTTCCGCCTTTGAAATGTAGCAAGAGCAGGGCTTTACAAGAATAGGTGTGCAGGTTGGCTCTTTAGTATCTCCACTCCCACTGAGCAGCTCCCAGATGTTCCCAATGCAGTATGTGCTGTTGCTGAGGTGGCAGCAGCTCAAGCTTGTTCAGTAATGGCTAGGCTCTCAAAATCTTCCCAAGAACACAAGTGAGAGAGACAATTTTGATTTTTAAACCACTTATAATTAAGCAAATCTCACTAGAATTTGCCGGGGCAAAGAAAAGGTGCTTTTGCAGCAAAAAAGATTCCCCCTCTGCAGCAAACTGTTGATATTTGAAACAGGTGTAAGAACATCTCAATAAAAAGCTGTAAGAATCCTTTATAGGGGGTTCCATCAAATCCCTTTATAAAGTAAATTACCTTTATTGAAAAAACTAGCAATCCTTGTTACAGTGTAACAACTAGCAGTAGTAGTATTTCATCAGTTTACATTATTCTAGTTTATGTAATCTAAACAAATCTTGCTTAACCTTCCGCAAGACATGACACTCACATATGTTACAAAGAACTTGATATCAAGGAAAAAAGTTCAAGAAAATTCTCTGAAAGGGGAATTAAATATGGAGGAAGTTGCTTACCGTTAGAAGTTTGGTTGTAATGCCAGCATCCACCACAGCCTTGTGCATAGCACGCAAAGTCTCTAACTCTGGAGCAGCAATAAACACCACATAGGGCATAAACTCTGAAGTCCTCAATACTTTCAAGGCCTAGAAACAAGAACACACAAAAAACAGACACCCCAAAAACATTAAATGTAATTAGTTAAAAATGAGAATACGTCACTATACTTCAGTCTCCGATCAGTGAAGTACTGCAATTTTAATCTAGTACCATTAACAGACAATTTTTTCACATCTATCCCAACCCTCAATGTGCTGGATGGTAGGAGACTCCCTTTCAGAATGATGAACACCGTTCTTACATTGGCCAAACGGATCATTGATCAGCAATACAAAACACTCTCGGTTCCAGGCTTGAACTACCTTTATACATTCCTGACATTTCCCCCTCTGAATTCCAAAAATCAACACTAACTTGTGAGTCTCCCATTGTACTGTGGGATGCAAGACCACATTGAAATTTAAAAAATACTTCTTTCAACACTTATTCTCATCTTAGGGTACATGACACACTACATACCTGTGGGTTCACATCCAAGATGCACGTCCTTCCAGTCTGAACCACCTCAAGGATGGAATCAATTTTGGTTCCATAAAGGTTTCCTTCATACTCTCCATGTTCTAAATATCTGCCAGCTTTAATATCTGCCTCCATTTCAGCTCGCGACACAAATCTGTAGGCTTGTCCATCTTTTTCATCATCCCTTGGCTTTCGCGAAGTAACTAAATACAAATTTTTGACAAATCACTGGACAGAAAAGCTCTCTCAAAGATATCTGAAAGATTGGATAGTCTGTAAAGCCATGTACGTATATGTTTCTTTTCTGTGTGTGGAACAAACCATTGCCCAAGCTCATGTTCAAAACTGAAGAGCAAAATTCCTCACATTTTCCCCTCTGCCCTTACTCTCCTCCCCCCCATTCCATCTACTTTTTCCATTCATTTCTTCCCTCAACATCATCATTCCTTGTTGATTCCATACCCAATTCATTACGCCCCCTCTTCACCAGTCACTACTGGTGTAGTGTACAATTTTCAACACCACAAGTCATTTTTGAAAATGAGACCGAGCTATTTCAGAGCCTAAGTCCTATTGACATTCAGTGAAATTCAGGCTTTTTCCAGGCAATCTCATAACAGTCATTTATTTCTCTCTCGCTCTCTAGCGGACACATACTGTTGAAGTGGAAAAAGTGTAGGAAAACACTAATCACCCCATCCTGCTTCAAGATCCACTTCCATTGCAAAGCCTGTGTTTAATTTCTCAAGTGATAGTAATTAGTCAGTTGGCCAATAGAAGCGTCTAACATTGGGGGGTTTTTTGGTTTTTTTTACACATCTAGAAAGTGGGAATCAATACTGACAATATTTGAGGGATAACACAGCCTTGATATAAAAAGAGAAAAAATCTTTTATGAAAAGTCTGAAAACATTTTATCATTCAGTTATATAAACTGAAACCTTTCTGAGACCATTCTGCCTCCAAGTGGGAATATGTAATTATTTATTTAGGTGTAGTTCTACGTAAGAAAGCAGTTTTAACTATACATCATGTATATATGCACATACATACTCACACACATATGCGTGTATGTGTACAGATATTCACAAATATTACTGTATATGTACTTACATGAATCTTCAAATATGTTCTTATCGCAGCTTGATTAAACAGTATTTATTTTTTACATGTTTTGTTTGTATGTTGCTGGTTTACTGCCTGATAATTTGTATTATCTATTTGTGTTGTCAGATATGTGGATCATTTCTAAATCCTGTGATGTTTCTATTCAATTGGCCAAAAGTGCTCTAAATAATAAATAATAATAATAATGGCACATACACAAATTGTGAGCTCTCATTTATTACTTATCTGCAGTTCTGACATCTTATAGAACCCTATAATTTGTTACATTAAATTGTCTGAAAAGTATGTATTATGTTTCACATTACATTTTGCATACATGGATTATTAATCTGATTCCCATCATAGGTTTCTTTGGACAGGTTAGGCTACCACATGTACATTAATTCTAATGGCATGGACTAATTTTGGTGTTGGAGGAGAATTACTGATGAGAAAAGAGATTAGGACTTCTAGGATTGCCCACTTTCCCTGCTTGAATCCTAACACACTCCTGGCTTGTCTTTCAGACCTGCCCATCTCCCCACTACTGCTAGTCCAACCCAGTCCTTGCCACACAATATGATGCAGAAAAAAACAGGTAACTCCTAGAAGTATAAGTGGCTGTGCATAATGGGTAAGGAGCAAGGAAGCAGTTCCATGCTCATAGGTGAACCAAAAGGGGTTATCTGGCCCACAAGAAGCAATGGGTTATTTGAGAAAGTGACAAGTAGGAGAAAAGAGCAGAGCAGAGAGGGGCAGGGCTGGTGCAGAGAAGTAGGAAGAAAAAAAAACATTAATTGGCCTCTCCTCCCTCAGTCTATAACATTAACAACTAACAAAATAAAATCCATAGTTTACTAATCCCTAGGATACTATGTCTTAAATCCATTAAAATGTCATACGAAGTTTTAGTTTCACATACAACGATGAAAAACTCCATTTAAACAATAAAATGAGTTTAAGTAAAATTCTAGTAACTGTTCATTATTAAAATTTATTAGGAATATTTAGAAGCACTAGGGGGCTGCTCCCTATGCTCATCAGCCCCCTGTCTCTGGCCATGAAACCCCCCTGCTTGCTACACTCGCCAAACCCACTGGCTCTGACTGCTCTTGCAGCTAAGGAGCCTGATGACATTGTTGTGCATCAGGAAAATAGAGAGAGTGCGCAAAACAGATATAATTGAATAATATTGCCAGATGCATGCATTGGAACTCCTGTCTTCAGCATGAGCAGACAAAAGTTTTTCTGGTAGTTAGATGTCATTAATGCAGAAATAGGTTTTTCCTACTTATTGAGGAGATTGAAAATATGTTTCATTCTCTAGCTGAAGTTTTTAAACCCACAATTATTACTCCAGATTTAATCACTACAAACAAGTTGCAAGTTAGAGTACATTTCCTCAAATTAATTACAAACTTCTATAAATAATATTTGACAGTGGGAATACTGATAACTTACATGGCACTGTAGTTCCAAACCTAGTGGGATTCAATACAATAAATCTATTTTTCAAGCTTCTTCGACCTACTCCCTGGGCTCCTATTAAGACTAATGTCTTCCTCTGAAAAGGAGGCATTTTGGCTACTTCCTCATATATCTGGATTTCATGACGATCAAATTCTACATAAAAAAGTAACAATATTAAATATATAACAAGTCATTACCATTTGTACAAAACTTTAGCAACTCTGTTTTCTATTCACGTGTTACCTTTTACTGTAAATAAGTATTTTCATCTGATATTTTCATAACTGTTCTCTTATATATAAATAGAAATAATATGTGGATTCTTTCAATGACCATCTACTCTAAACAGAGTTAATTTGTAGGACGACGGTTAGGGAAATGTGGGCAATAGTTACATCATGCCAGTATTTAACACTGTGTCAATTGTGTTTTAAGTACTTAAATTTGATTTTGTCCTCTGATGCATATGCTGAAGAAGAGCAACCTTTTTTTGGGGGGTGGATGGAGAGGGAGCTCATAACTTAATCACAAAAATTACCATTTATAATTTTGCAGCTAGCTGATTAATTTGCAAATCAAGGTGTTATAATTTAATTTTAAAACTTTCTGCTGTAACAGCCATTCGTTATGATAGTTTAATCTAGGTTATCAGGGTGATAACCCAAGTTTAAAATGCAGATTCAGAAACACTACAACATATTGGACTGGTACGCTATTTTACTGGATTTTAAACATAAAAAACTAAAAAAGTACCTGCATTTCTGGTTGTGAGATACATCATCTTTTTCTTTTTTTTGCTACCTATAGTTCCACAAAAGGGCCCTGCAAGCAAAACAAACAAGAATACTGAAAACTCTCAAACTCACTTTTTGATTAATATGTTTTTAGGGTGGCTTAATTTATATAGATTAGTGGTCCTCAACACGGTGCCCGTGGACGCCATGGCGCCCGCAGGGGCATTTGTGTGCGCCCGCCAAGTGCTCGGGGCTGGCCTGGCCCCGGGCACGTGGCGCATGCACGGTGCCGGCCCTGGGCACATGGTGCACAGTAAGCGCCGGCCCCGGGAGCGCCGCGAATTGGCCGCCAGCGCTCCGAGCGCGCGGCTATAGGGGGGCCCCGCCCCCAGGCGCGCAAGTGTTCCCGCCCTCTGGCGCCCAGCAGGCGAAAGGCCACAGCCATTGGCGCCAGGCAGCCTCAAATGGTTGGGGACCCCTGCCTTTCACTTTCAGTCAACGTCAACATAAGATACATAATAAATTTTAGTTATTACAAATGTATTGCAATTATCTGTGAATCCTCTTTTATAAGGTCTGCTTTTGTGTAAACTGGAAAAAGGAAACAAAACGAGCTAATCATAAAAGAACCCATCTCCAAACATGCCTTAAACCTTACCCGAATTATCCCAGTCCCTCCTAACAAATGCCTTCCTCTTCTCTTCCAGGAACTGGCTAGGAATAAGTCCAGCACTTCCTCCTTCTTTCACATGGCTAGCCTGAAATCAAGTTAATAAGATATAAATCCCCCGTGACAAATACTTTAAGCTTTAGTTCAGTGATGCAAGCCAGCAGCAATCTTTCAATCATTTATGCCTGAAAATTGACTTCTTTAAGGATGTCACACTAAGGATTTCTGGAGGCTGAGCACTGATGCATTAGAGACAGACACCAGAAAATTCCAATTTAGCACATCATGCTTCCCACAAACATATTAGGGTTTGACGGTTCTCTAGTCCACTTCAGCATCAAAATTCAAGACAGACAGCTAGAGTAGAGAAACAAAACTACTACTTGGTAATTAAGTTATTATTTTGTTTATTACTTTCATTATTAAATAATTCTGGGGGTTTAGATTTCAGCCACACACAAAAAACTGATAAAATGTACAATTACTAAAATGACCAAAATTGCTCAAAATACTTAATCAATCCAGATATATTTAGTTTGAAAGGATTCTGAATGGCACAACATCTATGGGGCTCTGAACACTTACACTTTTACCCTGCATTCTTGTTGAAATTCGGAGGCCCCAAGCTAAGCATGTTTCTAAACACAGGCAGCTGAGGCACCTGTTTTTTCTGTCAGGTCAGGAACATGGAATATTATCCTTCCCTAATAACAGACCATATCTTAAAATTCCACTGTTATTGTACAGTTTCTCATTTGGGAGAATTCACAGATCTAGGTTGTATAAACTAAAAATTACACTGTTATCAAAACATAGAAGTCAGAAATTTTATAGCGCGAGTCCCATAGTCTAACTTTAATACACAAAAATATGAAATTTTACAGTATTGGTCCTCTCAATAGTAGCTACATGCATACATTTCTCTTGAAAAGGAACAATATAAATAGCAGGCCAAGTCACACATTCACCTTAGTAGCAGCCAGATGGAATGAAGTTAATGCCTCATTTCTTGCCCACTCAAGAAACACTGGCTGGATGTTGAAAAGTCTGCAGCTATAGGAATTCAATGGCCTCTGTATTGGTACACATGCAAGTTACTACTTGCAACACAACACATCATTGTTCACGTCAGCAGACAATGAAATGCAACAACCCATTACAGCCAGCTTTTATAGTTTATTTTGTTTAGACTCTTGCAAGTTGCCAGCTGGAGGAGTTTAAAAAAAGAGACAGACAGGTGACCACATGAAAGCTGGATGTCTCTAAAACTCTTGTGAAGAGCTCTGGAGTGCCTAACTTCTGAAACGTGTTTATCTGGCAGTAAGTATTTATGCAGACTTTTTTCTCTCTTTATCTTCCCTTCTGTAATTACTATAGCTGGCTAGTTAAGAGACTGGAATTCACCATCTTTTTTCAAACACAAACAAGAAGTGAGAGGGAAATCCAACTCTTAGCAGATAAAAGATGGTTACTTACCTGTATCATACTGTTGCTCTAGAAAATATGGATGCAAACGTATTCCATGTAGGTGTGCATATGTTCAGAGTACCAAAGCTGGGATTAGTCTGCTTAACACTATTTGTCATGCTCACTCCTTCCCCTATTCCCTGCTCTCAGTTCCTTCATGCTAAAATGTTCGGCTAAAGAATCAAATGCACTAGGGGAAGAAAATGGGTTATAGAATACATGACTGAATCCACATCTCAAAGAACAGTTACGATACAAGTAGCCATCTTTTATTCTTCAAGTGGTGGCAGACATGTATTCCAAGCAAGTGGACTCAAGCAACTCCAGAGGGAAGTGGTCTTTGATTTATTTAAATAGAGGGCAGAAATGCTCAACATTTGCAGGCAATCTTGATGCTGAAATGATAACTTTTGCAAGAAAATTGTGCTTTTAGAGAAGACCACATCACAGCCCTGCAGATATCCACTACTGAGACACCACTAAGAAATGCAGCTAATGTCACTGGAGTCCTCATTGAATGAGCCCATAATGATGTTGGATGTGTCATATGAGTCGCTTCATAAACCATAGTAATGCAGGCAGTTATCCTCTTGGAAATACAGGCTGAACCTCTCTAGTGTGGCACAGTTTGTGCTGTGATTGGCAGGTGGAAACTGTTGGCTTCTAATTAAAGTTTGAATTCTAGAAGTCTCTGCTGATTAGCTGAGCCTTGGTAGGGGGAGGGACTTTCAGGCACTCCAGGTCTTTATAAGGCAGTGGGCAAGTGACCAAGGAGCCTGCGAACAGTTGAGTGCTAACGGAGTTTAGAGAGGGAGTTCTCCAGGTAAAGGAGAAGCAGATACAGGACTCTTGAGGGAAGTGTGTGTTGTGTTTGGGGCTTTCTTGCTGTGTGCTGAGCTTGTGTTTGTGAGTGAGGGTTGGTGTGTGTTCTTTGTTTTTTTCCCGTTTGAGTGAGGCTTCCCCCCCCACACACACACACTTCCCCTTTGCCCTCCCCTTGATGGAGTTTGTGCTGTGATTGGTAGGTGCTGTGATTGGCTG